CGCTGCTCTTTGCACGTCGGACAGGTCAGACATAATAGCACTTTGCTGGGAAGAGAATTTTCTCATGCAACTGTCACACTGCCAAATGCTCGACTGATACCTTCCCTTTCACTGCCACTGGATGGCAGACTGTTGTGACACGTGGTGGGGCTGTGTTGGACAGTCGAAATACAACACATTTTGAAAGGGGTGTTCCTATTATTTTGTCTTATACCTGTAAGTGCACTTAACTACTTTATTCCATAGAACTCCTCAACTATAAGTAGGGCAATCAACATTATGCTTTATTTTTCATTAAATTATACTTTATATTTTTAAACATTACACATTATTATGCTTTATAAAAAATTAATAAATTAAATCAAATTTTCTTCTAATTTAATTTAGTAACGTTCATCATATAAAGAACTGAATACATTGCATTACATATAAAGAATTCAACACAATGCAATGGACAAAAAAAACTTGAAAAATACAGCCAACTGTATAATAACTAGTATTGCCACCAGGCTGGTTTTTAAATTCATGGTCTGGATTAATTGTTAATTTGTCCGGTTTTTGTAGAAATTGTGAAATTATGATGAAACAAAATGAATTTATAAAAATATTTGCAAGTATTTTGTAAATATTAGGTTTGTTCCAACACAAGTCCCTAACTAGTTTAAAACTGGCATGCGCATTGTTCAGTTCTTGGCTGTAAAGTGACATTGCACATGCCTTGGTATAACATTTTAATTTTAAAATGACCTGGTCAGCAATTTTGAAAAGGTGGCTCACTGATAACAACACTGTATAAAACTCAAGTATTCCTTGACTCAATTCCAGCTCTTTCATATAAATGCTTCACACTTTTTATGTACAAATCAAAACAGACTTTTAACATGGCTTACAAAATCATTGCAAAAACTGAAAAATAAATGTTCATTGTCAATTTTAAGTTTTTTATTTGGTATTGTCGAATTTGTTTCAAATGCACGTATCTATAAGCCTTTTACCAGTGCACGTTTCGTCACACTATACAATAGTGTGCTGTTGTTGTTTCAGATAAACTGGTGATCAATTGTTGTTTCAGATAAACTTTCTTTTTATGGCATGATCATCGAATAGAACAAAGTCATATTCTAAAAAGTTTCTAAAATAAGCTTAATATGCCTTAAACATGCCAAAATGACTTGCAGCTCGGTCACACACCTAAACAGCATCACTTAGTCTACAATATAATCACTGCAATGTAGAAATACCTCCATTTTAGCATTTTATCCATTTTACCTGAATTTTAGCAGCCATGAACCTAAATGTCTGATGATTTACTTAGTCTAGCAAGAATGATGTATTTCTTTTCTCGGTTGAGCTTGCTTGACTGATTGATTTTGAGACTGCCAAATCTGTGAGTTATAGTTCATGCGAATGAGTTTGTTTAGATGAGATTGAATAAAAACATGAAAAATTTGGAACTGTATGCTCTGCTTACATTATTGCTTTTCCAATGTTTACAAATAATTATTNTTTTATAATCTGAATATAGCAGAAAAATAAGTTGTTTCAAATTTGAAGATAAAAAAAGAAAATATCACATTCCAAACAATTCAACTAAATTATCAATTACCTTTTTTTCATTTATGATTAAATGACTAAAAATTACTTAGCTTTTATGATGATAATTTACCATTTTAATTTACATTTTGTATTGAATCAATATTCTTAACACACATTTAATCAAACATTAATTATTTCAAATTTTTATTAGAAATATATGATTTTTCGAATTTTGTAATTTTCGCAACCAGGTGGCAGCAGATTGCAGCGAATGATAACGTGGTCGAAAATATCTTAATTACTTTGAGAATTTGTCACGTGAGTCATTAATTTGGAATTATTACCTTAGCATTGAATGGTTTATAAAAAAAAAGTATGAAAAGTCTTTGGATGATAATTACTAGTCTTATGCACGATAATAAATGAATCCAAACGGTTCTAAAGCTATTAAAATGTCAGAATTTTTTAAAAAGTTCAATTTTCTATCTGTTTATCTCATTTTTTTCCCATATTTTTAATGAAGAAATTTGCTTTCTAAATTAAAAATCGGATATTACTCAAACATGAATTTTGTAGTAAGGATTTTAATACATTTAAACACATTAAAATGAATAACAAAATAAATATATGCAAATGATTTGTTAATGAAATATACTGAACTTTTTCTATTATAATGAACAAAATAGCACTTTTACAAAAGAAATTGTCGTGTAAATACCTCATAAGAAAGGTGATTTCGAATTTTTTCCTTATCAACAAGTGTTTACCATACAAACATAGACTTTGAACTGTAAAAGTGGCGTATTAACTATACGATCGTATTCTACAAAACTAAAAATAAATAAAAAAATTTGTTGAGAAAAACAAAATAAAATTATACAAATGAAAGGTAACATTCTATTAAATATTATAAAGGAGAGAAGTACAGAATTTAATTAAGATTCTTTTTCTTTATCTTATATACTGTTAAAGTATCACTTTTATCAGAAAACTAGCCTTTAATTAAGTTTATTTAATGTGGATATTTGTTTAATACGTCATTCTCTTCATTCAAAAGCATTCAATTAATTAATCAAATTCTTTGACAAACTTATAGAACAGTTCATAATTTTGATTCTAAATCCTCTAGTTAAAGCAGGTTTTTTAAAACAGTAAATAATGTAAAGAAAGTCTTTAAAGATTTTCTTAACATTGTTTAAGATAATAATTAATATTATAATATGTAATCATGTTAAAATATAAATTTGTAAATATATCTCATACTTAATTTACTGTATTTTTTAAGAATTTGTTAAATTTATAAATACATTTTTATTTTTAAAATTAAATGAAATTTCTGAAATAAAGAAGGTGTCAGAAACAAATATTTTAATTTATGAGTTTTGTTGATAAAATTACAGATTTAAGAGATGCTAAGCAACGGTTTTATTTATTAAATAAAAGAACTTAAATATTATATCAGAAGAAGAAAATATATTAAAAAAATGAATGATTTATAATTTTATCAGCCATTCAGTTATTTAAACTTTTCTTTGAAAACTTAAACTTTCTAACGTATCGATGATAGCGATAAAACATAAATTAATCTTTAAAAAAACTAATACAGTAAACTATCTTCCCGTTTGTTACAACCAAATTAGTCCTTAGAAAATCGTCGTCAAGCGAACAGTTCTATTTTCAGTAGACTTTATATTATAAAGAGATTTATGTTCTTGAAAGTAAGTTTTAATAGAGTGGTCAACAAAAACAACAGAATCATAATTGAAATTTTATACCAGTCGTAAAAGTGAGGCTGTAAAGAGAGCGAACGGTCGTAAAGTGGGGTATATTGTAATTAAATATAGCACGTAAAATAAGAATTTTTATATTTCTAATCATTTTCTCTCCTGATTTGATTGCATTTCATCCCCCTTTTAAATTTAATAAATCTGTCAGTTTGTGCCTTGAATTCTATCTAGATTACAATTTGGAACTGTTTCTCAAAGGACAGCCATAAAGTATTATTTGTTATAAAATTTAGAAAACTCTTTAAAACTAAATAAAAAGATTGAAGTATGCTCGTGTATTTTGATTGGTATTTTCGTTTCATTTTATTCACGCATAACCTGATAATTAGCGCAAAATCGCATCATTATAATTTTTTCTTTAACTTCCAACTCTGTTTCTAACTTCAAACTTTTATTTAATTTCGAAGTTTAGATGTTGTTTTATTCGATTAGAACTTTCAATATAATATAATATTAGTTATCGCATTTACCTCTTGTAAAATCAAGTCAAAAATAAGAGTTGAACATCCAGGGATTTCAGAGATACCCTCACTTCCGTGGTGCATTTAGAAATATGGCACTCCTAGACCCACAATACGCAGGCCCTCCTAAAAGTAATAATGTCACTTTTGTAGTAAATGATCCTGTTTTATAATTTTAATTCTGCAATAATTATAATTTTACAGATTTTTAAATATGCAAAGGGCCCTGCTATTGAAACTACATCATTAATATTTTGTTCATGCTGTATATTCATAAATTAATGCTACTCAACTAACGTCTTATTTTGCTCCTATTTAACTTTTTAATAATAATCATAAAATTATTTTTCCCTTATTCTTTATTTTGAATTTTTGCGCCTTTAGAGCTGAGTAGACCTAATGGGAAATGCTCTATAACTCCCTGTTTTTGCGACTGGTATAAATTCCTATAATGACAGCCAGAATTTATGTGTTTTAGTTTATCATTTCTGTGTGTATTCTGTAATTAAAACCATATCCAGGAACGTAATCTCAATTTAAGATATTATTATGATAAATACGACCGGTTTTTAAAAACAAATTACAATATAATGTAAAAATAGGATTTTAATGTATTTTATATAAATTTAAGAATGTTAATATAAATATCTCTTATTTACATAATGATATTTTTCTTCTGTTAGCATTTTGGCATTTCTAATTTTTTGTAATTTTACTCGCTGTTGTTTGATAAAAGATTTCTCGACTTAATCATAATAAAAGTCATTAATCAAAATTTATAGATTCATCCTTGAAGAGTACAAAAGCAAACAATTCAAACAAAAACAACAGAATCATAATTGAAATTTTGAATAATATGAATGGATAGAGTGTATGATTTTAATACACTCTATCCATTTAGAATTTCTAAATGGATAGAGTGTATTAAAAATTTAACGGAATAAAATTTCTGTAGTGATGCAATTTTATTTTATATTTTTAAATGATAGTTCTATTGTTCTCCTTTTTTTTTAAACTTTTGCTAACTAAAATTTTTAAATTATTTTTTAAAATAACATATTTATTTTAAATATTATTATTATAGACTTGTACGCTTTATCAAAACTGTTATCAATGTAATCTTCACTATTATCTGTTAATATAAGTAGTTTTGTGACGTATTTTAACGGATGGATTTGATTGTTGATGTATTCAATGGGTTAGAGATCGGTTTTTAGAGCTAATTTTGTAACAATGTTAACTAAAATAATGTTATTTGTAATGTTACATCTTTCTTTTTACCTTTGTATTGACTCATCATCCGTTAACCCTTACATTGATTCCTATCAGTGCGAGGTAAGTCATACATTGTACTACGTATTTATGTGTAACTTACATGTATAATTCCTTCGGCATTGATAGTTAAGAAATATTGAACATAGTGAAATAAACTTTTAAAATTTCATTTATTTCTCAGTTTATAGACTGTCGACTAATTTATATCGTTTATTAATTATGAAAGACGTACTAATTTGAGTGTATCTTCTAAATTACATTTCAACACTTAAGTCATATGATGATAAAAGTAAATGATGAATCATAAATCTGAAAACATGCTTTGAAGGAAAATTTAGGAAATTCTTTATATTTAAATTAAATAAATTAAAAATATGCTTAAAAATTTGTATCCCAGCATTGTGACGATGTCACAATAAATTCTCGTTTGTTTATAAAAAGTAAGTGGCAAAATTGGCTTCTGTAATTTTACTAACATTCCACTGTTATTATCTATCAGGAAATATTTATTTCGCCGTTTAATTCATAATCAAAATATTCACAGGATATCATAGAATTAAGTATAATGCAAAATTTTCGGATTTTTGCATAGTTTCTTCTACAAACTTGTATTTTCTAATTTATGTTCATCAATTAGTACTGTAAAATCGTGGAATAATGACAAGAGAGAATACCACCTTTGGAATATCCAGCTATATTTGAATATCTTATTAAAAGTAAAGTCTTTGATTATCAAGAAATGCTTAATTATAGGGGTCTTGACTGTTATAATTATTTTTCAAGTGGTAAAGTAGGTGAAATTTCAATTAATTAATAAATTGTCACAAAACACTTTGTGTCCTTAAGACAAATGTAGAGCCATCACAAACCCTATCTGAAAGTTATTCTGTATGGACTTGTGTCTTATGATGGCAAAGTATTTATCTAGATATACATGCCTGGCTGGTTAACCATTCTCTTAAATTTTTATCACGTGGAATTGAATGTAACTGGAACGGTTGAATACATGGACAATCTCGATGCATCATGTTTTCGTGTACATCGCATACAGCTTCAAACCACTTATAAAGAACACACTAACCATTATGGTAGGCAACCACTGCACAATATCTACCTGAACTGGTTTTAGAAGGCATGTCACCAATGAAAAACTAAAAATTGCACAACTACACTAACAACTAGCATTATCTTAACTCCCTCCCTTCCTTCCAGTATGGATGTCATATATGGACAGCCCCATACACACTTTGGTGTATTGTATATGTTTTAGGTTCAATCATTGTAAAATTTCTTTATTTTATTTATTTATTGTTTTTTATATCTAAGTTTACAACTAAAGAAATTTTTTGTAATATCATATTCACTGGTATGATAAGCCCTAAAATTTAAGTAACTGGTTAGGTTAACGAAAAAGTTAAAAAATGAAAATTAAAAGTACTGTATGTACTTAAAATAACACAAAATCAAATTAAATAAAATTACAAGTGTAAATATTTGCGTTTGTGAGAGGGCAAATCTGAAAGGTACCTCGGGCGCCACGTTGCCTCCCCTGATTTAGGATAATAGCATTATATACTATTTTATCTATCTATCTATATATATATATAAACGGGAATGTTTGCTTCTTTATTCGTTATACACTCCTAGGCAGTTCGACCAATTGCTACGAAACTCGGTAGTTACGTTCAAATACTTCTAACTCACATAATGTCGTAAATCCCACACCAGATTATAGATTGGATTTTTACATATCGATTAATTTCTGTCTACATTTTATTGCCGGCTTTACACATAGCACCATCTATTGGAAAAAGTTTAACAAACTAATTAACTAAATATAATTTTAAAAAATATTTTATATTCACTGAATTACTGCGACAGGTAGCACAACGCACTTGCCTGCGTGGAATGTAGTAGTATTTTGCCCTGTACATCATACTTTTCCTGTTAGCAATAGAGTCATACCGGTTATGTATCTAACTCCGTTCGGGGAAATTTTTTGAATTAAAATAATGTAACTTGCGGTACAAATCGGAAGTTGATATATAGTTAATCTAGTTCTCTTTCTCTTACGATTTCCATGTCTGGTCTCGACTTTCATCTATCTAACTCCGTTCTCGAGATTAATGGAGGACAGATAGTGGGAATTTATAGGTCTACAATTTTTTAAAATTGCAGCCCAATAAATATCGCTCAGTAATCGTGGATAAAACCACCGAACACCAGTAGTCGGCCTTGGGTTCGCGCATGGCCACGTGGAGTTTTCTGGGTTTTCATCGTTTTAGTAACACTTAAATTAGAGCCAGCTTTACACAAGTCTTCCCGGGATGCATCCTCCTTGACAGATCGTCCACGTGTCGTGTTGCGTAACCAAACCAATTCTAATAATTTTTCTATAAACGCGATATTTACGAGGACACGCTTAACTATCAGGAAACCTGGACATCTTTCTTCCTCCCCTGATTTCATCTTCCCTTAGTAACTCATAATTCCATTGCCTCAAACTTCTTTCACTGATACTGCTTAAGATATTCTAACGTTCAGCCAAATTTATGTACGTGCAACCATTCTAAGGCACAAAGTCTTTTTCTGTGCCGATGTTTATTTTTCCTATTCATTATCATGGCGACATTGCTTCATTCGAATTTCCTTTAGTTGTAGTCTATGTGCACTTTATCCACATGTTAAGTCTTTAATGTCAAATCTGCTTCCACTATTCTTATGCTACAACTTTCAAAAATTTCCTTTACTTAGATGTTTTTGCTGAGCTTTACTTTTTCCTCCCGGTTTCACCAGTTTTTTTTATGGGATCACAAAAAGCATTCTCGCATTTTTACAAGATTTTTTTAAACAAATTTTATATGAAGTGTTTCGGACGTTAAGGTTAACAACTCGATCATTTGCGGACCATCACAACCTATCCAACACGGATCACTTTTCAAATATTAATAGTAGACCAGTATTAAGTAGTAGTCGTTGACCATCTTCACTCCCAGCAGGAGGACTACTACTACTTTTGGTCGAATTAACTTCAACCTCCGTCTGCATAGTCCTTCCTATCGGACCCATCGGTATGGTGGCATTCGAATAGGAAAATTACATAATACGAGGTTACCAGTCTGACCAATGAAATTGTGACATTTCACACCATCCGAGTATTGCGATGAACATGACAATGGTAGGCTAAAATAACTAAACTCTTTATATAGTTTTCGTTTTAATATTTGTTATGTCATAGTATTTGGTTTATATAACTACAAAGGTTATCTTACGTAAGGGTTTATCACACCAAGTGCCCAATCTAACATCTTTTAAAAATTTCTTGTTCGTCTACTGTACACAGTTTAAAGAAGTTTTTACTTGTTCAATTTTTTCTGTAAGAATTTTTTCATCGACAGAAATAATATCGTCTCTATGCTACACAAATTGCTTCAGCACACACTTTTCAGAATCTGGATATTCCGGCTTTATTTTCTATTCAATTTGATTCTGTAGTTCATTGAAACTTTCCAAAATTCTGTCCTTGTTGAAAAAACGGTCAGATAGAGATGGAATGTCAACAAGCAATCTAAACTTCAGTGAAATTTATAGAATATGAATGTTTGGTCCAGGGCTTCCCATTTAGGTCGGTATCGACTCCAATGCGGATATTCCAGGAAGCAAAACAAGCAACTGCTTGGCCCCATCGAGAACCCTCTCTCTTTATTAAAAAAATAATAATAATCTCGTTGAGTTATGAAGACAACGTAGACAAGTTTTTGCTTAATAAATAGAAAACAAACTCTGTCGTATTTAAAATTGTTTACTTTATTTAATATTTAAATTGAAAATCAAATATGCATTAGAATTATCGAAATTCCTTGAAACATTGGTATAGGCCTATTAGTAGACCTACAAAATGATTAGGATGTTCTTTCCAGGACCCTTATTAGGGGGACTCCCTTCGAGGGGAAAAGAAATATGCGTTTATACATTTCTTAATCGTATCTAGTTTTTATTCATAAAATTTTGTAGCGTGAAATTTATCGTATTTTGATGTCAGTTTGAAATTCAGAATTGAAATGCATAATCTCACTTCAAGACAATTGATAAATTGCAGAAATTGTCTTTTCGTTTGTGATTGAGCAGTTTGCAGATGAGAAGAGTGGGAAGAAGTAATATACATGATAAACTGTAATGATAATTGAGTTTAATTGTTCTTTCAATTTTTGCCTTTCTTCTGGCTTTCCATTTTTTTTTTNTTTTATAAATTGTTTCATCTAACAAAAAAAGAAAGGATCATAATGATGAATACTTGTAGAGGAGTCTGATTGATGGTCGTTTACATTAAAAATATTGTTTATTCAACAATATATAAAATATTATTTCTTTATGACAAGCAAAAACATATATTAGATTAACTTGGGTTTCTCTTGTCTAAAGAGGAAGACACTTGTTGACATTATGTCCTGTTACTATGGTAACAGAAGTGATCGTCCCTAGGGCTGTAAAAAAGCAAAGTTGTTTTTCTTGACCGTAAATTTACTACTCCGTATCTAAGAGGAAACCTTAAGTCAACATCAAATTTTCATTTACTTTCCTCCGACATGGTTTTAATGGGTTAAAAGTTGTTCCGAATCGAGTTTTCGTGTTTTGAAAACAGATTCGACTGAAATTTTCATCTCAAATAGATTTCCTGAATGTTTCGGAGAAGATTCCGCTTCATTTATTCAATTAATATTGATTATTTTTATTAGATTTTAATACACAATATCGTGTAAAATTACTTTACTTCTTCTCTTCCTTCTCAAATTATTATTATAAATATCACAGACTTAATTGTAATTTCAATATTCTAAAATGATCTGGTTGTGATCTTCAGCGTGGATGATAATTTTCCAAACCAATTAAGTGTAATTTTCAATATAGATGATAATTTTCTGAATTGATCAAACTGCGATCCTTAATGTGAACGATAATCTTCCAAACCAATTAGGCTGCAATTTTCGATTTAGGAAATCTTTGATGTAGATGATTACAAAAGTTCAAATGCTGTACTTATAGATACTGTATTTTATATG